TGTAATAAACATGACAAATGATTAATTAATATGTAAATGCTCTTCATTTGTAAGTTTTGACATTGTATCAGTTTGAAGAGTTCATCTAGAAAATTTTGCTGCTTTTAATTTATGTTCATAGTTATCCATACAGTCTGGTGGATTTGGATATTATCCAAATTCAGAAGATACCTATAGAATTCAGATATGGTAACATTTTCATAATTTGTTCAGATATCAAAATAGGCAGGCATTAAGATTTCAGGTTTGGAGTCGGATGCCAGGGCATTGCTCTATTTACACTCCTACATACAGTTATATTTCAATGTGTTGCCACTGCACTACACTGTCTGGACAGGGAAGGGAGGAGAGAAGAAGTGAGGGGAAGATTGGGAGATGAGAAGTGGATCAAGAACCTGCTTTAGCAATTTTCGCTGATCAACTCTGACAGGTGATGGAAGCTAGTTTATTTTGTGTTTGTTTGACAAATTTGATTACATGTGAAGTACTACATTTATAAACGCTGCTGTTTCTCTTTATTGGGAAAGGGAAGGAAGGTCCAAATACTTACAGATCATCAGGTATAGGTTTCAACTCTGAGGCTGGCAAGGGGGGGCTTGAGGTTTCTTCTAAATCATCTAACTGGTTGTTATCTCCATACTTGGACCGGAAAGTAGCTTCCTGCAGAAAAGAACAAAACAAACATCTAAGTAACTTGATAAGCCACAAAATGGAATTCAGTGTATCGATAGCTACAACAGACTTGCGCTTTGGCAGTCAGAGCTGGAGATGCATCTTTTGGTTCTGGGTCCTACATTTATATTAAAAAGTATTAGACACTCTGCTTAAAAGTTTGCTTTGACCAATTTATGTACCTAGTTGTCATAGGCATAGCTTAAGGTTATTAAGTGGATAGCATCACAGCACAAGTATATCTTCTACATTTTGAGGTGATCAAATAGAGAATTGAATTTCTTATCCAGTAAAACAGAATAATTGACAAAGCAAAATACCAGGAAATGAAACCCAATCCACCAAGAATCAAAACAGAACTTGGTTTATCAATGGGAGTTGGAGATGTGTCTTTTAGTTCCAAGGCAAAAGCCTTCATTTAAATTGGAAAAGAAGACACTAGCATAGATATCTTGGTTAAGTTTTTTCCATTATCGAGTTGTTTACATAGTTAGGCATTACCAATAATTAGATGGCAACTTGATAAATTTCATTAGCAGCAGTACCCATTTTTCATTTTGAACTAATCAAATGGAAAATATGAAGTATTCTCTAAAAAAGATTAATTGATACAAACAAAAAGAACTTGCAAGCTTGGAATAGACTTCTCAGGTTATTGTTTAAATCATATAAGTAGTCGGAGATGATACGGTAGTTACATTATTGCAGGGGATTCCTCCACATGGATCCTTTGGACTTCTATCACTGTCAGCAACCTGGGCATGGGGTAAATCATCCTAAAATAACGAAGGCATTAGTCAAATGTTAAATGTTAATGACTTCTCATATTTAATAATTGTAATTGTAAACTATAGGTGAAGCTCAGAAAACACACCATTGGTGCATCCCTAATATCATCTCCTGAATTATTCCGACACCTGACTGAAATGCCATCCTGAAATAATGAAATCACCAACAAAAAGTTAAATTCAGAATGACTTCTTATCATCAACTATCAGCGAACATACAGATGAACCTCAGAAAACCCACCACTTCTGCATCCCCTGCATTCTCTCTTGAATCATTTTGATTCCTGACAGAGGAGTTCGAGGAGTTCTTCTGAACAATTTCATCAACCGAACAATCAGAGGCTTCAACAGAGTCAGATTGACAAAGGATGCTAGTTCTGTATTTCATCAACCGAACAATCAGAGGCTTCAACAGAGTCAGATTGACAAAGGATGCTAGTTCTGCAATTACCAGTAAATAAAGTTTATGTTGATATATGTCGCCAACTTTTCTGACCTCATATAATAAATCCAAATTACTCACTGTTTCAGCACTTCCAACTTCCTAAGCCTTATCTTCTCTAAAACAGACGATATTGGCTTCTGAACCAACGGGACGGGCTTAAATGAAGCATCTCTTGTTTCTTGTTCAGAAGAAACTTAATGTTAGTGAAATAATCAAATCAATTTGATATTTAGACACAATAAGTGACAATGAGCTATAGATCAAAACTGTATCTAGCTAAGACAAAATGACGATTTTAGGTTCCATAATAACAATAAATTTCACCCAAAAAATTTGTTGAAAAGATGAAACGTCAAGGAAAACCATAGGAAAAGGGGGTAAATGACATAAAATGGCAGAATTTCCTGAATACCTCGCAAAAGCCGCTGAGACTCAGCATGAATTTGCTCCAACTGAACCATTCTTTCCTGTCAAACAACAAACGTATAACCTTAGGATTAACCCTAAGAATAAAGAAGCTTTTTTTCGTTTTTATAAAAAAATGGGAGGGAAAAAAGACAACCTTTTCAGTTCGCCTCTTTTCTCGAACGGACTCTTTAGGTTCCTTACTCCTCTTCTTCCTCTTCTTCTTTGAAATCTCCTCACTTCCTTCATCTAAATTGAGCCGCTTCTTCACTGACTTCTTCTCCATTCCACTTACAATTCCTCCGGAATTCTTAAGTCCGTCATCTTTCTCTTCACTTTCTCTTTCTCTCTCCAGATCTAGGGTTTCAGCACCTCCATCAGCAGCTGGCATCGAGAACAACGGATCAAGATCGTCCTCAAAGTTCTTTACACCGTCAGGATCTCTCGATTCAGTGATCGGAGAATCTGAAATTTGAACAGCCGGCTCATCTGATGGAACGGAGAACAACGGATCGAGATCGTCCTCGAAACCCCTTTCTTTGTCGGCTGATGAGGTCGAATCGCGATCCGGAACGATCGGCGACTCTGAAACCCTAATCGAGTCGGGGATTGCTGCTGCTGCTGACGACGACGACGTTGACGATTTCTTGAGGCGTTTGAGCTTAGGTTTGGGGATCGGCGATTGCGGATCCTCGGGGATCGGAAGGACGAGATCGTCCTCGATGCTCTCCATCTCCACAAAGGAATTAGGGTTTCGTTTTTTCTCTGAAAGAGGGAGGGGGAGGAAGGAAGCAAAGAGGGCAAGAATTAGAGGGAAAATGTGGAGGGATGAAAAGTTTTAGCGCCAAATTTTTTTCAAGCCAATATATGCCCTTTTATGGGAAATTTTTAAAAAAGACCGATTTTGCTGGGCGTTTTTTAAAATCAACTAGTAGTTCCGTCTGTCTGAGCTGAGCGTTTTTTAAAATCGTCCTCCTTTTAGCCTGTTAGCCAAAAAAGATATCGATTTTGCTAAATAATTAACAAAATTATCGATTTTGCTAATTATTTAGCAAAATCGGTCTTTTTAAAAAAAATCTCGCCCTTATTATTGGTGCAAGTTGAGAATGCCCTTTTCCAAAAGATTGCTTTTTTTTCTTTAAAAATAAAAAAAAGTTTTGACTTAATTGAAACAAATATTAAGCTTATTGTATAAAAAGAATTATCGCTTGCATTAGATCCCCGCCTAAATAATTATGTATGTCTGTATGAATATATGGTACCAATATATTTGTCGCTATGCAACACAATTTTCGTATTATTTCATAAATATTTTTTCCCTTTTGATGAAAGTGTCATTGGTTGTAATATAGTTATCAGTTATTTTGCTATTATTTCCCTTTTGATGAAAGTGTTGTTGGTTGTAATATTATTTCATGAATATATGGAGACATTTTGTGTGATATTCCTCTTCTTGTTTGAAACCTGTGACAGCGGAAATAGGTTGAGGTGGATAAATTGTTTAGAAATCAATGTGGTGAAAGTAAAAAAGATGAGGGGTTGAAATGCGTTGGGTTTGGCTTGTGATTAAATGGGGTTGAGGTTTCTAAATGGGTATAAGGGGTTGTTTGTTTGCCTAAAAAAGAGGGAAATCAAAGAAAAGGAAACCTATTTCTAAGAAAAATAGGTTTTAGGATTGTTTGGTTGGCTAAAAAAAGAAGGAAATCAAAGAAATAGAGATGAGATGAGATGAGTTGTCACCTTAGGGGCTGTTTGGTTCGTTTCCTTGATATAGGGAAATGCAATTCCATGTAAAGAAACACAAGTTTTGAGTTTTCCAAACTTTTCCAAGAAATAGATTGTTTTGCTTTGGTTCGCATATAAAAAATGGTGGGAAACCAATGTATTTATTTTTCTTGTGTTTGGTTCGCATAGAAAAAAAAGGAAAATTTTTCTAAACAAAACAGAGAAGGAAAAAAATCTGACGTGGCAGAGTTTTCATCAATTTCACTTGGTTGGGGAAGGAAACCGGAGAGGAAAAAAAATCTTAGTTGGCGGCGATTTTAGCAGAGTTTTCCCTCTTCCATCCGAGCGAACCAAAGTTGCACAAAGAAAAGGATGGAAACACAAAAACTGACGTGGAGGGCTAAAAATCTGACGTGGAGGGTTTTCTTAGTTTTCCACCCCTTATAATAGCGAACCAAACAGCCCCTTATTATAGGATGATGTGAGTGATTTTTTTAGAAAACTTTTTTTGATATTGTTTGCTTGGCGGAAAAAATAAGAACATGAATTATAAGAAACCTATTTCTTGTATTAGGTTGTTTTCTTTTGTTTGGTTATTTCTTAAAATTAAGAAAATAGATGAGATGAGATGAGTTGTCATTATATTATTGGATGATGTGACCCACACTTAAGGAAATTGTTTTCCTAGATTTTTGGGAGGAAAACAAAGAAATGAAATGTTAATGAGATGAGATGAGTTGTCACAATCTTATTGGATGATGTGAGTGATTTTTAAATATGAGATGAGATGAGTTGAGTGATGTTGTGGATGAAAATAATATTTTATTAGATGTGATGGATGAGTTGTTGGATGAAAATAATATTTTATTAGATTTGATGGATGAGTTGTTGGATAAAAATAATATATTATTAGATATTGTGGGTGAGTTTTAGGGATGAAAATATGTGAAATTGTACTTTTTGAGATTTCTTGGTTTTCATTTCTATTTTTTGTTTTTTAGGAAATAACCAAACACGCCCTAACTTAAATTGACAACGTGTTTGGATTTACACTCCAAGGGGTATAATGGTCAGTCTAACTGAAAGTTGTAGAATATTCCCCCCCCCCCCCCTAATTATTACACTCCCGATAATTTGTGGGGACTAATATGGATGCACTAATGATATTTACGGGACTAATGTCAAAATATGAAGATTTGAGAGATTAATATCAAAATACCTATGATTTAAGAGACAAATATATAAAAAAAAACTTTTATTATAATATATCTACAATATAGTTTAATATAAAGCTTAGCACATCACACAAGTTAAAACTAGTTAGATCATTGGACTTTAGACCATGTTTAGAAGTTTTGGATTATAATCTACAACGGTTGGTGATTTTAGTGGTTTATAATCAATTTTCAGGATCAAAGTGTTTGGCAAATAGATTGATTATAATCTATCATATTGTCAAAATGACCAAAAAAGACACGAGCTTGATGATGAGTTATCAAATTAGGCCTTGAATTTTGTGAAATCATAAAGGAGTATAAGCGTCTTTTACATTTTACATAGTTAAACCTCACGTCTTATATTTCAACAAAGTATATGTGAATTCATGATTGTGGGGCCACATGGCCACACCCACGTCTCGTGATAAAACCACGTTGAAGTGTGAAAGGACGTGATTGAAGAGATCCAGTGGGAGGCTAAGGGCCCGTTTGGATAATGGAAGTATTAGAAGTAAGAAGTAGGTTATAGAAGTAACTTTCAAAGCTATGAAGTAGAAAGTAGTAGAAATAACATTTTTTTTTTGTTTGTTTCATATATTTTTAGAAGTAATGGAATTAGAACTTCTTCCTCTTCATTTACTTTTTTGTTTGGATAACATTTGGAAATATTATTAGGAAGTAATTTTATCAATGAAAAGTTGTTAGAAGTAACTAATAAAAGAAATATTAATAAAAAAAATTATTTATGTCATAATTAATAAGCATTTCAACTACTTTCGAGCTACTTCTGAGTATTGAGGATTGGAAAAATATTTTGGAAGTAAGGATGACACGTAGGCGCCATATAAGCATTTAGGGAAGTATTGGAAGTCGTGCAAACAAACAGGCCCTAAGAGCCAGGCCAACGGGGATTCCACGTGAAGAGATCACATCCGATGTGATGAGATCACGTTGCCTCTTGTTTACGCGTGAAGAGATCAGAGAAATCTCTTCACGGGCCCACCCGCGTGCTGCTGCAAGACCCGATTCCGCTGCTATAAAAGAGCACATAGGGTTTTTTGTTTCGCGGGCGAAGGAGGGTAGCAGTCAGCAATTTTTATTTTTGGCGGCGTGCAGAGGCTGGAAAAGGCAGCGTGCAAAAGTGAGTTTTGGGCGGCGTGTTGTTCCGGCGGTTGTTTCTTTTGAGAGAAAAACTGAGAGATATTTGTGTGTATGAGAGAGATTGTTTGAGAGTTTAGATTGAGTGATTGTAAATCCTAGTTGTATTATATCCTCTCTAATAGTAGATCTCCCCCCTCCTTGCCTCGTGGACGTAGGCAGTTTGCCAAACCACGTAAAAATTGGTTTGTTTGTATTTGTGGTTATTGTAATAGTTTATTAGGTCCCTCGACAAATCAGTCCTAGAACTGATGAGAGGAAGAACCGATATCTCACTTTGTTGAGATATTCGCTTCACATTCTTGTTTCCTTGGTGAGACATGAATTCTTATTGATCTTTCTCTCTTATTGTGCACCAGAAACTCTGCTCCTTGGTGAGACATGAATTCTTATTGATCTTTCTCTCTTATTGTGCACCAGAAACTCTGCCGAAATTTTCGCTGCGCACAACAGGAATTCTTATTGATCTTTCTCTCTTATTGTGCACCAGAAACTCTGCCGAAATTTTCGCTGCGCACAACAGTATAAGCCAAAATAAGCAGCTTGCCAAACACCTCAAAAATGACTTATAAGACACTTTGACTATTTGCCAAACAAGCTGCAATATCGAGAGTGCAACTCCTATTAGAACGCCTCACCTCGCCACACCGAAGGTTCTCATAGGATCCGCACCCCAATATCGCCTCATTAAATTTGTACTCGTAAATAAAAATAAAATAAAAAAAAGTGTTTCGGAGCGTCAGAAACCGCAATGCGAAACACGAATATATCTACGCGCCGTGATAATTGATTACGTTCATTAATAGAATTTGGCTACACAGAACTTGGTAGACGAATATATAAGACATGATTAATTTTCATCACAAATCATATTTCGTAGTTCCACGTGCTCTCAGCTTTTAGCTTCGGTACTCTACATTGCTCCGTTAAATTGAGAGACGCAGAGATCTGGAGAAAGAAACAGAACAACATTAAAAACAACTTCATGTTTTTTAAAACGTTGATAATTGAAAGCAACATTGCTGTTCACAAGGTTAACGGACTCCTGCAAATTATTATAGACAACAATGAGCATATATACGTTTGTAAATCGGAAACCGTGTAAATAAATCACATTTGACAGAAGGAAGTTAATTTTCAAAAAAAGAAAATTATGTCACGTTCATGCAACAATCATGGGGAAAAGTTGAATTTCACAAAACCGCCAAGAAGTTTGGGCCATTTCGAGATAGGGTGGCACTAGGGGCATACCCCCCACCCACATCACAAACCACGCTCCCTCCTCTCTCATATGCTATAGTATACTAGGCCCCACATGGGATTTTAAATTTTAAAATTCTATATGGGGCCCGGTGCACTGTAGCATATGAGAGAAGGGGTATGGTTGGGGGTGTGCTCCTATTATTTTCCTTTGAGATAACCTCAATCTGTTTGTTAAAAAAAAGGAAAATAAAAGAGAGAAACATATCTGGATTCGATTTTACCTTGAAAGATCCATTGCCTTTAGATTTCCTCTTCCACTCCAATCCTAAATCTTTATCCGAAGCATTATAAGTTGCCTTAACAAAATCACCTCCATCAAGTTTTTTCAACAAAGCAAAACCCCAAGCATTCTTACAAACATCATAGCAAGGCTCCACTGTGGTCCTCCCCATAAACCCGTAAGCATAAACATACTTCACCTTCAAATTACCCGACCCAAAATCGTAGTAAACCCGAACCCGATTAGATTGATCAAACGCCGTTGATCCTTCAATCGATGTTTGGTTCTCTCTGTGAGCATGGTTGTAAGCGAAACGTACCGTCTTGTCCATTAACGTGATCTTGTTCGTGAATTGAAGTCTTATGTCCTGTAACGTGTAGAGGAAAATATATAGTAAATATATATGTAACATAAGTCACACTTTCAAACTTGTTATTTCTATAGTATAATTTTGATAGATAGACCTAAGCGAAAACATTTTGTCGTCTTTTTACTCTCAGAGAAAGAGAAAATTAATTGTATGTTATTTTCTTCCAACGAGGAAGAAGTAATACTTTTTTTGGTACGTCGTAACGGAGGTTGAAGGAGTTGGGGTTGTGGAGAGAGAGCTCGAGGCCGGTGAGGGAGGGGCCACGGGTGAGGGTGGCGTTGGCCATGGTGGTTCTGACGACGAGGTCTCGGCCGAGGTTGACGGAGAGGGTGACGGATGCGTTGCTCTCGTGTGCTTCGTACCTCCCCTTCACTTTTGCCTTCATCGGAGTAATATTCCAGAGGGAGAAAGCTAGAGAGATTGTTGTTAAAGGGCCGGGTGAGTGGAGATTTGGGGAGAGAGGGGGGTTGTTTGTAAAGGAGAAAATGTCCGGGTTCAAGTGGGTTATAAAAATTTTGCCTTCATCGGAGTAATATTCCAGAGGGAGAAAGCTAGAGAGATTGTTGTTAAAGGGCCGGGTGAGTGGAGATTTGGGGAGAGAGGGGGGTTGTTTGTAAAGGAGAAAATGTCCGGGTTCAAGTGGGTTATAAAAATTAAAATATAATTTCTTTGTATTTTTTTCTTAAAAAAATTACAGGAAAAGTTTTGAGAAGTCAAAAAGTACCAAGTTTTTTGTTTTTTTTACTTTGCTTGTTTTGTTCAAAACAAGAAAATAACCCATAACTTTATAAAAAATAGCAAGATTTCCTATAATTTGTAGAAATTGAACCAAACACCCTTAAATTTATAGAAAAATATTAAATTTATAAAAAAGTGTCAATGTGGTGTCAGATTTCTGGGTGATTTTTCGCTCATTTTGAGAGGAAATTGATTTCTGTAAATTTTGATATTTTTTTGTACTTTACAGAAAACATTTCTGTAATTTTTTTTGAACCAAACATAGTTTACGGAAATCTACAGAAATTTTTTAATTACAGAATTGCTATTGTCAGATATTTTAAGAAAATTTTTCTATAAAATTGTGCAACCAAAACACCCCCTAAAAAAAAGTTTTATCAGTTCAGTTTGAAAATAGCCACGCGAAGCAAACTCATTGCTCATGACATTTATCGAAATCTAAAGTTAATAATATGTATGAAAAACGTCAAAAACATATCTGAAAAAGGAAAATTGTAAAGAAATAATATATGTAATTCTAGAAAACGTAACAATATACACACACATATGCAGTGGCGGAACTAGAAATTTTGCCCCAGTGATGCTTTCATATTGTTTTATTTGGACTCTACACTGATAATTTTACAGCTTTATTATCCCTTTGGTGATCTTTTGTATTAAATTCTAAGGGTGTTTTAATCAATACATGCAAGTAAACATTAAACAATAATATATATAAAGTTGATAATTTAAAATTGGCCTTGGGCTTTGGGCAAGTTTTATTGGGCTGGTAAATTCAAAGAAATTTCGTGGGCCCCTGGTAATAAAAAATTTGAAAGGAATACTATTTTTTTTAAAGCAATGCACCAACAGAATAATGACCCAAAAGTGACCACATTCACAAATAGAACGGGTTTTCTTCAGTCCAAAAAGTTCACCTGCCAAATTCCCAAAAAATCAAAGGTAGAGTGAGAAAGTGAGCAGAAAGCAGAGAAATTTTAGAGAGAGAGAGAGAGAGAGAGGAGAGAGGAGCAAAGAATGGAGAGCAGTGAAGAAGAAGATGATTTCCAAACCCATGAATGGATCACTCCCCAATCCAGCATCAACTCCATTTACCAATCTGACACTGAAAAGGTTCTTCCTTTTTTTTCACTATTCTTACACTTTTTTAAAAAAGCTTATTAGCAACTTATCAAGTGTAAATTTATGGGTTTGCTTTAATTTCTGTGGTGCTACCTAATGTAAGCTTGCAAGCCCTCTTCCATGGATCCTGTTGATGTGATGGGTTGGTCGAATTATGGGGTTAATTTTTCATTTGTGACATAATTTGAATGTTAGAACCCTAATCTGGGTTTTGGGTATTTTCTCTTTTTTTTGCGGGTTTTTATATGTTGAGTTTATTTTGGATGAGCAAAGTCACAACCCATCATTTCTTAACAGCTAGTTCTTTATTGGGTTTGCTTGAATGAATTGTTGTTGAGTTGTATTGAAGAACTTGGCTTAGTTATTTTGCTATGATTTTATACTTCTGATGGCAGAAATATGAAAAATTAGCTAGCTACCTAGGTTCCCACATTCAAACCCTAGATTCCCCAAAAAATTAGCTAGCTGAATAAAGAAAAGAAAATGCAAAAAAAAATCCATATTTTTCTACTTGTCTCCTTATCTCAAATACTTCAACTATTTGCCTTTCAATTTTTGGACACTATGTTATCGTAACTAATTCGTCGATCAATGCCACTTTCACATAATGTGTGCCATGATCACTCTTGGCTTGCTTACCGAATATAGGGGATCAGAAAACTGTGTTCCGAGCTTCTGGATTTAAAGGATGCGGTCGAAAATTTATCTGGCAACATGCAATCAAAATATGTGGCCTTCCTCAGGTAATAGCCGAGAAAATTTATTCTCTTTTTACTCTGTAGCTAATCAAGCAGTATTATCTTCAGCTTTATAATAGTTTCATATCCTTTTGTTTCCTCATGGTGCATATATTTTGTGGTTATCGCTTTTGTATTAACTGTTTGAAGAATATCCGAGGAGGTTATGGAAATGGAGCAGGAATTAATTGAACTGCAGAAACATGTGTCTGCTCAGGGAATCCTTGTAAAAGATTTGATGAGTGGTGTTTGTCGAGAGTTAGAAGTGTGGAACAAATGTAATATTGATGAAGTTGATGTCAATGATGATCTTCAACTCTCTGAAATTGATGAACTCTTGCATGGAGAAGTGGATGACAAAAAAGTAACTTTTTTGGAAACAGTGGATATTTTGTTGGCTGAGCGCAAAGTAGAAGAAGCATTATTAGCTTTAGACACAGAAGAACGAAGCTCCCCTGAGTTGAATGACCTGGGGGAAGATCCATCTCCTGAAATTTCTCCATATAAGTCAGCATTTTTAAAAAGAAAGGAAATGCTTGCGGATTTGCTAGTTGGGATTTCACAGCAACCATTTGTGAGCATTGCTGAGCTAAAGAAGGCTTTATCAGGTTTACTTAAACTTGGTAAAGCTTCTCTGGCCCATCAGTTGTTGCTTAAAGCATACAGCTACCGACTTCAGAAAAGTATCGAGGACTTTCTTCCTTCATGTTCAGTTTACTTGGAAACATACACAGCAAAGCTTTCACAGCTTGTTTTCTCAACAATTTCTGTTGCTACAAAAGAATCTAACACATTATTTGGTGAAGGGCCTCCATATACAAATCGTATTATACAGTGGGCTGAGTATGAGATAGAAACTTTTGTTCGTTTAGTGAAAGAAAATGCTCCTCCTGTTGAGTCCGCTGCTGCCTTGAGATCTGCGAGTACATGTGTTCAGGCTAGTTTTAGTCATTGTTCGTTTCTCGAGTCACAGGGCCTGAAATTTTCTAAGTTACTTATGGTGCTCTTACGTCCGTATATGGAAGAAGTACTTGATATGAACTTCAGGCGAGCAAGAAGAAAGGTTGCTGACTTGGAAAGAAACGGTGACATAGTGCAACTGTCCCCTCCACCAGGCTCTCCAAGTTCTCTTGCTGCATTGTCAGATATCATGTCTACGGGCAGTGGAAAGAAGTTTATGTCCATAGTCAAAGTAAGTAATTATTTTCTCAGTTTCTCCATATATGCTAGTTTTTGCCCACCAGGGAGCCGATAGTAGTTCACATTAGCAAAGTAAACTTTTTTTAATCTTTGTGCCTCACTATTTAGCTTGTGTGTGAAGATCTTGCTTAGTCCTTGTTGATGTTAATAATCACACAGATGATGTAGTGGGGGTGAGATTGAGTAGGAGCTGTTAACTTCTTCGAATATCTGGTTTTGAGTTGAGTTGCTTCTTCCCTGCACGTGTAACAACTCGTGAGGGAACGAGGACTAGTTCCCCCGTTGTTTCTCCGACGATCAAGTCAGTGATGTACTTGAGTGAGAAAATGGTGAACTATGCAAGTTCTCTAGTGCAGTATAATAGAGAAATTTTTTGAGAATTTGCTTACCTTCACATTGGGAATAGTTGTCCCTCTTATAACCATGCAATAGGGGTATTTTAATTTTTCCCCGTCGAGTCTGAGTTGGCAGCTGAGTCAGCGTCGACCTTACGCGTGTCAGCTGTGGAGTGGTCACGAAATGAGCGTTGTTACTTCAGTATTAATGAGATGGGATAGGCGGCGCATGAAGCTGGCGTGATTTGATGTGTCATAAATAGTGTCGGGATGGAGAAATGATGGTGCTTGCCAATCATTTAATGTGATGTCGACACGTTGTCAGCGGGGGGTTCAAGGTCGAAGTTGCCTTTTGACTTATATCGACGGGTGTCGAGAAATAATGCCTTTCGAATCGATCTAGCGAGACGCCAGGTAATTAACCAGTTGAGTGGACTCGTAGTGAGTCGTCTTTGATGAGAAGGCTGATAAGTATCGTCATTCGGATCGACCTAGCGAGATGTCGACTCAGCGAATCGGTTAGGTCGGGACTCTGAATATCCTAAGTGTTGAGTTGACTGAATGATGCGTGACGGGGAATATTTGCATGTTGTTGGCAAGAGGTCATAATTTGGCGACTAAAAACATCATAACAGTCCTCATCATAATGAAATATAATGAAAACCATATCTATGATCATGATAAATAACTCAGATGAGTAACCTCTAGTCATGCAACAAGCCACTTGCACTGTGATGGTATAACTTCTAATTCCCTATCAATAACAATTCAGTATGATGGCCAATTTATATTAATTACTTTGTGCCTTGAGGATCAAGGTTTTAGAAATTAGTTATTGGAAATAAATCGGACGGTCAAAATTCATATCGGATCCCGGTTATCGAGGATATATCAAGGATAAGTAGTAAAAATCGGAGTGTCATATTTTTATATACAATATGATGTTCTAAAATGTAATCTACGATTCAGATCACACTTAATGAAGTATAAACATACTAAAATGTAAATAACTCATGTTTAGATCACTAATCAATTGTTAAAACTTGCTTCTTAATTGTGATATTAGGGTTTGGGGTGAACGATGAAGCAGTTGTTTCCCCCCCAAGAAATCGGCCTATTCATCGGCTGAAAAATCGGCCTATTTATCGGATTTTTGCCGATATATCGGCCAAAATCGGGTGAAAACGATAACCGAATTTTTTTCTCCCAAAAATCGTATCGGAAGGGGTCAAAACTCGATATATCGCCGATATTTCTATAATATCGGCCGATTTTTAAATCATTGCTGAGGATTGATTATCTTTATTATGTTCAGGTCTTTATGTTAACACAACACATATGAATTTGGAAGAATCTAAATGTACATAAATGGACTTACACTACTCTCCTAAATAAGTTCAAATTACTCAAAGACAGTATAATATAGATTGATTAGGGCTATTTGAATTTTCTATGTATGGCATATTAACCAATCCTTTTGCAGGATATATTGGAGCCACTGACACCAATAGTAATATTGCATTTTGGGGGAACAATTTTAAGCAGACTGCTCCAGCTATTTGATAAATATGTGGAAAAATTGATAAGAGCTCTACCTAGTTCTTCGGAAGATGATAACCTTACTGATCCGAAAGAGACTACAGAATTGAGAGCTGAAACTGATGCTCAACAACTTGCACTAATAGGGACTGCATTTACTGTAGCTGATGAACTGTTGCCGATGGCTGTAGCCAAAATTTTCAACCCACAAAGTGAAAACAGGGAAGAGGGGAGTGGGCCCGATTGCATCAGTCCAGTTGCCATTAGTAGTGTAGAGTACAAAGATTGGAGGCGACATCTCCAGCATTCATTGGACAAGCTCAGAGATTATTTTTGTCGGCAGTATGTCTTAACTTTTATTTACTCAAGAGAAGATAAAGCAAGGTTAGATGCTCGAATGTATTTGGAGGGAAAAGGAGAGGACCTTTTTTGGGATACTGACCCTTTGCCTTCATTGCCATTTCAGGTGGTTCCTTTTGCTTGATCTTTCTAAATATTTCACGCATCTAATCTATGATTATTATACATCAATAGTTTCACATATATAAAGTATTAATTTCAGTGTTATCGGAGTAATATTCCAGAGGGAGAAAGCTAGAGAGATTGTTGTTAAAGGGCCGGGTGAGTGGAGATTTGGGGAGAGAGGGGGGTTGTTTGTAAAGGAGAAAATGTCCGGGTTCAAGTGGGTTATAAAAATTTATATATATATTAACGAATGCAGTAATTATAAGAGCATAAGAGGGTGTTTTGTTTAATTTCTACAAATTATAGTAAATATTTTCACTCAAAATATAATTATATATATATTAACGAATGCAGTAATTATAAGAGCATAAGAGGGTGTTTTGTTTAATTTCTACAAATTATAGTAAATATTTTCACTCAAAATATAATTTCTTTGTATTTTTTTCTTAAAAAAATTACAGGAAAAGTTTTGAGAAGTCAAAAAGTACCAAGTTTTTTGTTTTTTTTACTTTGCTTGTTTTGTTCAAAACAAGAAAATAACCCATAACTTTATAAAAAATAGCAAGATTTCCTATAATTTGTAGAAATTGAACCAAACACCCTTAAATTTATAGAAAAATATTAAATTTATAAAAAAGTGTCAATGTGGTGTCAGATTTCTGGGTGATTTTTCGCTCATTTTGAGAGGAAATTGATTTCTGTAAATTTTGATATTTTTTTGTACTTTACAGAAAACATTTCTGTAATTTTTTTTGAACCAAACATAGTTTACGGAAATCTACAGAAATTTTTTAATTACAGAATTGCTATTGTCAGATATTTTAAGAAAATTTTTCTATAAAATTGTGCAACCAAAACACCCCCTAAAAAAAAGTTTTATCAGTTCAGTTTGAAAATAGCCACGCGAAGCAAACTCATTGCTCATGACATTTATCGAAATCTAAAGTTAATAATATGTATGAAAAACGTCAAAAACATATCTGAAAAAGGAAAATTGTAAAGAAATAATATATGTAATTCTAGAAAACGTAACAATATACACACACATATGCAGTGGCGGAACTAGAAATTTTGCCCCAGTGATGCTTTCATATTGTTTTATTTGGACTCTACACTGATAATTTTACAGCTTTATTATCCCTTTGGTGATCTTTTGTATTAAATTCTAAGGGTGTTTTAATCAATACATGCAAGTAAACATTAAACAATAATATATATAAAGTTGATAATTTAAAATTGGCCTTGGGCTTTGGGCAAGTTTTATTGGGCTGGTAAATTCAAAGAAATTTCGTGGGCCCCTGGTAATAAAAAATTTGAAAGGAATACTATTTTTTTTAAAGCAATGCACCAACAGAATAATGACCCAAAAGTGACCACATTCACAAATAGAACGGGTTTTCTTCAGTCCAAAAAGTTCACCTGCCAAATTCCCAAAAAATCAAAGGTAGAGTGAGAAAGTGAGCAGAAAGCAGAGAAATTTTAGAGAGAGAGAGAGAGAGAGAGGAGAGAGGAGCAAAGAATGGAGAGCAGTGAAGAAGAAGATGATTTCCAAACCCATGAATGGATCACTCCCCAATCCAGCATCAACTCCATTTACCAATCTGACACTGAAAAGGTTCTTCCTTTTTTTTCACTATTCTTACACTTTTTTAAAAAAGCTTATTAGCAACTTATCAAGTGTAAATTTATGGGTTTGCTTTAATTTCTGTGGTGCTACCTAATGTAAGCTTGCAAGCCCTCTTCCATGGATCCTGTTGATGTGATGGGTTGGTCGAATTATGGGGTTAATTTTTCATTTGTGACATAATTTGAATGTTAGAACCCTAATCTGGGTTTTGGGTATTTTCTCTTTTTTTTGCGGGTTTTTATATGTTGAGTTTATTTTGGATGAGCAAAGTCACAACCCATCATTTCTTAACAGCTAGTTCTTTATTGGGTTTGCTTGAATGAATTGTTGTTGAGTTGTATTGAAGAACTTGGCTTAGTTATTTTGCTATGATTTTATACTTCTGATGGCAGAAATATGAAAAATTAGCTAGCTACCTAGGTTCCCACATTCAAACCCTAGATTCCCCAAAAAATTAGCTAGCTGAATAAAGAAAAGAAAATGCAAAAAAAAATCCATATTTTTCTACTTGTCTCCTTATCTCAAATACTTCAACTATTTGCCTTTCAATTTTTGGACACTATGTTATCGTAACTAATTCGTCGATCAATGCCACTTTCACATAATGTGTGCCATGATCACTCTTGGCTTGCTTACCGAATATAGGGGATCAGAAAACTGTGTTCCGAGCTTCTGGATTTAAAGGATGCGGTCGAAAATTTATCTGGCAACATGCAATCAAAATATGTGGCCTTCCTCAGGTAATAGCCGAGAAAATTTATTCTCTTTTTACTCTGTAGCTAATCAAGCAGTATTATCTTCAGCTTTATAATAGTTTCATATCCTTTTGTTTCCTCATGGTGCATATATTTTGTGGTTATCGCTTTTGTATTAACTGTTTGAAGAATATCCGAGGAGGTTATGGAAATGGAGCAGGAATTAATTGAACTGCAGAAACATGTGTCTGCTCAGGGAATCCTTGTAAAAGATTTGATGAGTGGTGTTTGTCGAGAGTTAGAAGTGTGGAACAAATGTAATATTGATGAAGTTGATGTCAATGATGATCTTCAACTCTCTGAAATTGATGAACTCTTGCATGGAGAAGTGGATGACAAAAAAGTAACTTTTTTGGAAACAGTGGATATTTTGTTGGCTGAGCGCAAAGTAGAAGAAGCATTATTAGCTTTAGACACAGAAGAACGAAGCTCCCCTGAGTTGAATGACCTGGGGGAAGATCCATCTCCTGAAATTTCTCCATATAAGTCAGCATTTTTAAAAAGAAAGGAAATGCTTGCGGATTTGCTAGTTGGGATTTCACAGCAACCATTTGTGAGCATTGCTGAGCTAAAGAAGGCTTTATCAGGTTTACTTAAACTTGGTAAAGCTTCTCTGGCCCATCAGTTGTTGCTTAAAGCATACAGCTACCGACTTCAGAAAAGTATCGAGGACTTTCTTCCTTCATGTTCAGTTTACTTGGAAACATACACAGCAAAGCTTTCACAGCTTGTTTTCTCAACAATTTCTGTTGCTACAAAAGAATCTAACACATTATTTGGTGAAGGGCCTCCATATACAAATCGTATTATACAGTGGGCTGAGTATGAGATAGAAACTTTTGTTCGTTTAGTGAAAGAAAATGCTCCTCCTGTTGAGTCCGCTGCTGCCTTGAGATCTGCGAGTACATGTGTTCAGGCTAGTTTTAGTCATTGTTCGTTTCTCGAGTCACAGGGCCTGAAATTTTCTAAGTTACTTATGGTGCTCTTACGTCCGTATATGGAAGAAGTACTTGATATGAACTTCAGGCGAGCAAGAAGAAAGGTTGCTGACTTGGAAAGAAACGGTGACATAGTGCAACTGTCCCCTCCACCAGGCTCTCCAAGTTCTCTTGCTGCATTGTCAGATATCATGTCTACGGGCAGTGGAAAGAAGTTTATGTCCATAGTCAAAGTAAGTAATTATTTTCTCAGTTTCTCCATATATGCTAGTTTTTGCCCACCAGGGAGCCGATAGTAGTTCACATTAGCAAAGTAAACTTTTTTTAATCTTTGTGCCTCACTATTTAGCTTGTGTGTGAAGATCTTGCTTAGTCCTTGTTGATGTTAATAATCACACAGATGATGTAGTGGGGGTGAGATTGAGTAGGAGCTGTTAACTTCTTCGAATATCTGGTTTTGAGTTGAGTTGCTTCTTCCCTGCACGTGTAACAACTCGTGAGGGAACGAGGACTAGTTCCCCCGTTGTTTCTCCGACGATCAAGTCAGTGATGTACTTGAGTGAGAAAATGGTGAACTATGCAAGTTCTCTAGTGCAGTATAATAGAGAAATTTTTTGAGAATTTGCTTACCTTCACATTGGGAATAGTTGTCCCTCTTATAACCATGCAATAGGGGTATTTTAATTTTTCCCCGTCGAGTCTGAGTTGGCAGCTGAGTCAGCGTCGACCTTACGCGTGTCAGCTGTGGAGTGGTCACGAAATGAGCGTTGTTACTTCAGTATTAATGAGATGGGATAGGCGGCGCATGAAGCTGGCGTGATTTGATGTGTCATAAATAGTGTCGGGATGGAGAAATGATGGTGCTTGCCAATCATTTAATGTGATGTCGACACGTTGTCAGCGGGGGGTTCAAGGTCGAAGTTGCCTTTTGACTTATATCGACGGGTGTCGAGAAATAATGCCTTTCGAATCGATCTAGCGAGACGCCAGGTAATTAACCAGTTGAGTGGACTCGTAGTGAGTCGTCTTTGATGAGAAGGCTGATAAGTATCGTCATTCGGATCGACCTAGCGAGATGTCGACTCAGCGAATCGGTTAGGTCGGGACTCTGAATATCCTAAGTGTTGAGTTGACTGAATGATGCGTGACGGGGAATATTTGCATGTTGTTGGCAAGAGGTCATAATTTGGCGACTAAAAACATCATAACAGTCCTCATCATAATGAAATATAATGAAAACCATATCTATGATCATGATAAATAACTCAGATGAGTAACCTCTAGTCATGCAACAAGCCACTTGCACTGTGATGGTATAACTTCTAATTCCCTATCAATAACAATTCAGTATGATGGCCAATTTATATTAATTACTTTGTGCCTTGAGGATCAAGGTTTTAGAAATTAGTTATTGGAAATAAATCGGACGGTCAAAATTCATATCGGATCCCGGTTATCGAGGATATATCAAGGATAAGTAGTAAAAATCGGAGTGTCATATTTTTATATACAATATGATGTTCTAAAATGTAATCTACGATTCAGATCACACTTAATGAAGTATAAACATACTAAAATGTAAATAACTCATGTTTAGATCACTAATCAATTGTTAAAACTTGCTTCTTAATTGTGATATTAGGGTTTGGGGTGAACGATGAAGCAGTTGTTTCCCCCCCAAGAAATCGGCCTATTCATCGGCTGAAAAATCGGCCTATTTATCGGATTTTTGCCGATATATCGGCCAAAATCGGGTGAAAACGATAACCGAATTTTTTTCTCCCAAAAATCGTATCGGAAGGGGTCAAAACTCGATATATCGCCGATATTTCTATAATATCGGCCGATTTTTAAATCATTGCTGAGGATTGATTATCTTTATTATGTTCAGGTCTTTATGTTAACACAACACATATGAATTTGGAAGAATCTAAATGTACATAAATGGACTTACACTACTCTCCTAAATAAGTTCAAATTACTCAAAGACAGTATAATATAGATTGATTAGGGCTATTTGAATTTTCTATGTATGGCATATTAACCAATCCTTTTGCAGGATATATTGGAGCCACTGACACCAATAGTAATATTGCATTTTGGGGGAACAATTTTAAGCAGACTGCTCCAGCTATTTGATAAATATGTGGAAAAATTGATAAGAGCTCTACCTAGTTCTTCGGAAGATGATAACCTTACTGATCCGAAAGAGACTACAGAATTGAGAGCTGAAACTGATGCTCAACAACTTGCACTAATAGGGACTGCATTTACTGTAGCTGATGAACTGTTGCCGATGGCTGTAGCCAAAATTTTCAACCCACAAAGTGAAAACAGGGAAGAGGGGAGTGGGCCCGATTGCATCAGTCCAGTTGCCATTAGTAGTGTAGAGTACAAAGATTGGAGGCGACATCTCCAGCATTCATTGGACAAGCTCAGAGATTATTTTTGTCGGCAGTATGTCTTAACTTTTATTTACTCAAGAGAAGATAAAGCAAGGTTAGATGCTCGAATGTATTTGGAGGGAAAAGGAGAGGACCTTTTTTGGGATACTGACCCTTTGCCTTCATTGCCATTTCAGGTGGTTCCTTTTGCTTGATCTTTCTAAATATTTCACGCATCTAATCTATGATTATTATACATCAATAGTTTCACATATATAAAGTATTAATTTCAGTGTTCACAACTCTTCGAAGCTCTCCAGTTTCCCTTTTTCTATATATTTGAACAGGATAATCTTTGTACATTCTTGTGTTCATAATTGACATTTTTTCATTTCAATGCTGCAGGCACTATTTGCAAGGTTACAGCAACTAGCAAGTGTTGCTGGTAATGTCCTGTTGGGGAAAGAAAAGATACAGAAAACTTTGCTTTCCAGGCTAACAGAGACTGTGGTCATGTGGCTTTCAGAGGAGCAGGAGTTCTGGGATGTGTTTGAAGATGATTCTGTTGAGCTCCAGCCTTCTGGGTTACAGCAGGTAAAGACCTTGACACCTTCTCCCCATCCTTTTGATTTGTTAGTTGTTCAAATTAATGTGTTACTATTATGAGGAACGAAATGCAATATTTTTGAACTGAGAAAATTAATTTTCTCTCATTTGCGCACAAAATTAACATGAACTTTGAAGGTTTGCACAAAACCACCATAATTTTTTTTTCTTTATTAGTGAAAACTACCATGAACTTTCCAAACCGGAGAAAACACAAAGGACCATTAGAAATTGTTGCTGACAGCGTTAAGGACTTGGATACAAGGTCTAAACTATCACTAAAAATAAAGTACATGAGGGTAAATTGCCCAGAACATGCGGGGGTCAACTTATAGTTTACTACTGCTGACAGGCATATAGTTTACTGAAGAAAGCCTACTGTAGTTATGTACATAACCCTCAAAGTTCAGGCTAGTTTTGTGAAACTTACAGCCAATAATTTGTTAGTCATTTATGTCTGTTTACTAGAACATCTTTGACCTGTCACTGTTTTTGACTCTTGTTTTTTTCAGCTGATTCTTGATATGCACTTCATCGTTGAGATTGCGGTTTGTGGGGGATACTCCTCAAGAAGTGTACATCAACTTGTATCAGCTATTATAACACGTGCAATTGGGACCTTCTCTGCTAGAGGCATAGATCCTCAAAGGTACATACTCCATCCGTCCATCTGTTTTGTTATTCAATTTGGAATAATTTTAAATAATTTTGAGCTTCATTTTCTAGTGTTAATTAAATTTTATTTAGTTAATGGGGAAGGAGTAGAGGTGGGCATTAATTTTTTCTTTCTAGAATCAGTTAAGAAGGATATGATAATGATTAATGTAGTAATGTAGTGAAGTAAATAGCCTTCAAAAGAACCGAATGGAAGAATAAGATTCATGCAGTCGACCCGTAGGATTCTTCAAGTACCCTGCCGTTGCGCCAGAACTCAAGTTGTGGTGAGGGTTGAGGGTTGTATTTTATACTATAACAAGCCCCCACAGGTCGAGGGTTCTTTAATGGACCGAAGCATGTGCTCTCGGACCGAAGCATGTGCTCTCGGACCGATATCATTTTCCTTTAATCAATTTCGTGGCTTGGAATTGAACTTAGTTTGCTTCGATACCAACTTGAATGGACCGGACCTTGCCACTGCGCCACAAGGTCCACAACTCCGAAGTTGTGATAAGGGTTAAGGGTTATAAATTTATACTCTTAACAAGGATAAAGAATTTGTTGTTGCTGGTGTTAATGTTAAACTTCACTTCAGTGCACTACCAGAGGATGAGTGGTTTGTCGATACTGCAAAGGCTGCAATCAGCAAGCTCCTATTAGGAACATCTGGATCTGAATCTTCAGAACCCGAAAATGATGGGCATATAATTATTCACGACGATATATCTGATTCTGATGATGATACCCCCTGTAGCTCGTTATCGAGCAGTGAGTCTATGGACTCTTTTGCTTCTGCTACCATGGAAGAAATTGACAGCCCTGTTTACTTCACTGACCCTGAAGCATAGAGAGAATGGTTGCGGCCGTTGATCTACCAGCAGAAATTTTTTAATAGATATGTGAATGCCGTCTTTTTTACTAGTTGTTGTATCAGGAAGTGAGGTGAAATGTACTGGAAATTGTCATGAAGTTGACACTTTTTTATAAATTGGATGGGGTCACTGTGCATTCTTGTAGCTACAAGCTCTCGTCTTCGTGGAATCAAATTACTTTAGTATAAAAGCAATAGAAGAAATTTTCAAAATAACCTCAAGCCAGGTTTTAATTTTAAAAACCGACCCACTTTTTTTTATACTAAAATCGACTCATTTTTTGTCACGTCAGCTTAATATTATTCCTAAACAGTCGGGGTTGGTAACCCTGACTGTTTAGAAAGTTGTTAAATCCCAATTAGAAGTCTTAAACCTGATTTTTTATGTCCTAAATAGTCGGGGTTGGTAACCCCGACTATTTAGGAAATGAGATTAAGCTGACGTGGTAAAAAGTGGATCGATTTTGGTAAAAAACAAATGGGTTGGTTTTTAAAATTAAAACCTGGTTTGAGGCTGTTTTGAAAATTTCTTCAAAAGCAATAATTCGGGACAGTTGTATAATCAACTTGAGAATGACACTGTATACTTCACTTTGATATTATTGCAGCTATTTGGACTCTTAAATTATTGCTTGCTAAATGCTAATGACCACAATCCAACTCTTTAGAACTTGATGATTTTGAAGGAATGGAGGCACCCTTCCTTGAATCAGCTCTCAGACCTCTCTCTTCACAAAAGATATTTATGATAAGGATAAGCACATAAAATAAGTCGCCAAATCTGAAATAAGAATATACGTAAACTCCCAAATAGAAATAAGAATATACGTAACGTAAACTCCCAAATACAGGTGTATTCCTAAGTTATATCTATTAGAATATGATTATATCTACGAGAGCATAAACTTATAATCATCACCATGACTTTAGAATTTTGATATAATTACTTACAGATTTGAACATGGCAGGGATATACCATAATATAAAATTATAACTCTCGCCGTAAATTTTTGGAGTTTGGGATTTTAACGATATCTACAGATGCATCTTGGTGATGACTAACATGCAATATCAACACCTCCAAATATAACTAATTACCATATCACAAGAAAAATACACATTTTACACGAGTACATACCGCAAAATTAAATTGCAGAACTGTTACTAAATTGCCATGGATCACAACAAATCTCAAACCAACCAGCAGCTTCATTTAAGAAGTTTGTTTACTTTTGGAGGCCACTGTTTATAACAAACCAATACAGCATCAAGTTTAAGCATTAGCATGCAAACTGAACCATAGCAAGGGGGTATTAATGCTCAAATTGCTGAGGATCTTCATGCGGCTCTTCCGGTTATGTACAGGATTTACTTCAACTGCCTGATGAACCTGCGGAAGTAATGAGGATTCAGAAACATAAAAAGGATCCTCAAACTTTGATCGCAGCATATTACTGTCATCGCGTATGAATTTGTTCTGCAGGGTTCGTATTGTTAACCGCAATGTAAACATTTTCATTAGCGCCGAGATTAACAACTAAACCATCCATAGGCCCAAAAGATATCAATGTCAAATAGAAAGTTTAAGCGGACGAAGGCCTTGATAACCTTCAAAGCAGCCCACCTTTCATGTTTGATCAGTCACTCCCAAATTCTTCATAACTTATGCCTTCTGATATTGTATCCAATCTCTTTTCTTCATCTATAAATGAGCAAGAAAAGAATGAGCAAGAAAAGTCATTATCCCGGCGGGGGAGGATATCTACTTAAAAAAGCGCTAATTGCAGATAAGCCCCTTTATGAATAGAGTCCTATCGTTCTATTGTCCTATAGTTCTATTGTTTGCAGATAGATTCCCTGGGTTTTTTTTTAAAAAAAAATTACCCTGAAGAGGTCTATTTGTTTAAAAAAAGTCTCTGAGGGTAAAAGAGTCGCAGCAAAAAATTCACTCAGATGGTCTATCTGCAACAATAAAACTATAAGGGTCTACCCACAATTAACCTAAAAAAGGGATTCACACCTTCGCAGTCCCTTCTAGGAGAATCCGAAAACTCATTTGCGTTGGATCGCGAGGAAAGGAGACCTACCATAATTCTCCAAAATATCTAAACAAATAAGAGGAAAAAAAAATCATTTATGTGTTCTTCAAAACTGGGTGGGTGGGGGGCTCGGGTGTGTGTGTGGTGCGGGTGGGGGGATGGGGGGAGCTCTGACCAAATTCGTTTGCTAACCAGCACTTTGGGTGAAATCATCAGTTAAATCTGAGAAGCTGAAATTTCGAGGTATCTGACTCAGAAATCCCAATGAGGATGAATCCATCTCCAACAACTCAGAGCTGCTGAAGGCTGCACCTGGTTCCAAGAAAGTGTTCTCCGTACCGAAAGGAAAACCTGAGTTGTTTGAGTAGTTACGCTCCGATTTGATTGTTGTCCCATGGATTCCATTAGGTCTTCCATTAAGAATGGAGGCATCATCACGAAGATGGATGCTCTGATTTGATGATGATGTGCCATTCATCATGGCGTTCGAAGATGCTCCGTTGCAAAACATTGGGTCATACTGTGAAGTAGATACATGTTCAGGCAAATAACACGGCGGGGTTTGTTGTACTGTAACAAGTAATAAGAAATTGTTATATTGTATTTTAACGATGTCATAAATTAAAATCACGGAAAACAAACTTCTGTGAAGACCATTGCAAGGCATGAACTGTAAGATACAAGGCATTTGGGCCTTGGGGAATTAACTAGTAGTTCAAGGAACAAAACTAGAATCCAGAAAGATGTATGGTGTTAATTGCGGATAGACCACCTGTAGCTGTAGTATCACAAATCTGTACCTCTCTAAATTTTGTTATTGCAGATAGACACCAAATTGATAAAATTTTCTGTCAAATTACAATTTTTCCTTTCTTTAAGGATAAATAGTAAAAGAAATCACTTTGGGTACCTATCTGCAACCATAAAACTAGAGGGATAGTAAGTTCAAAATAGTGATATGACAGGGGTTCTATCTGCAATTAAACCTAACATTAATTAATGAAATATGACAGAGAAGCTTGAATAATGTTGACTATAGGATAATTAAAAAAAAGACTCCAGAAGATGTCACTAGAAAGAAAATGTACGAACAAAGATGATGTCTTACAGGACCCAATCAAATTAAGGCTTCACTCAGAAGTTTTGACTATAAATATCAAAACATCATACAAAGCGGCTACTGTTGCATGAAACCTATAACCGGCTCTAATGTAACAAATGTTAACTCAATATGTGCTTTGGTTAAATATTTAGATTAGGGAACAGAAGTATAACAAATATACAGAAAGATGTGAATCCAAAATAAAAACATGAAAGAAAGAAGTCCTACATGCCGAAGAAGTAGAACCATTGGAAAGGGGAGGTGGGCAGACTTTCTGCATGAGCTCAACCTGCTTCTCCAAAAGCTTATTGAAAACAATTATTTGGTTCTTAAGCAACAGTCTAACATGATATGCCTTGAAAAATTCTCGGTTCTCCTCTTCAAGTTTCAGCCAAACTGAAAATAAGCACAAACATGGAAAGTTAAGTTCGTCCTATAGGAATTTAATCTCAACAGAAATACCGTGCAATGTAAAATATTGGTGCAATTTTGCATTTATACATCCCTGATTTCTTATGAACTTAAGTCTTTTGTATATAACCGGAAAACTCTTAACGTTTACTCTTAGCTACATTGCCGTGAACGCTCATGAAGATGGTTGGCAAAAAGTTACCTAATTCAGTAAAGCCAGGTTCTATTTTTGCTTGATACAAGAGAGTATCAACTACCTCTTTCTGGTTCATATACAGTTGAAGACAGCGTTCAATCAGATTTTGCACCTGAAACTAAGAGAAGCATAAGAGAGTGTCCAACAGAAATTAAGTAATGCATAGTTAAAGTAAATAGCCCTCTACGGTGAGTGATGCATAGGTAAATCTTATTAATTTACATAACCTTTTGTGATTAAAACACTTCACACTCGAATGATAGTCCTTATTTTCACAAATTCACTGAGGTTTTCAATAAATGCACTAGAAGGCCTACAAATATGGTCAGAAGAATATATGAATCAGTTCTGGTTAATATCAAGGATTGTAAGCATGAGAGTCACGATCCCAAATCCCCGAGATAAGTAGCTAGAGAGTAGAGACGATCAATATTGCTTATGTGGCACGTATCCTTAAATTTTTACACTGCCAATTCTACAGCATAGAAAAATAGTTGGGCCATAACCAACAACAACCTGATAAACTACGAATTATCATTCCATATGATAATTTAGGACAAAAAACAATGCAATTGCTATAACAACATGCAAAAGAGTTAACATAACCTACTAATGAAACTTACGAGTGCATGCAGGCAGAGATTCTAATTCAACATTCAACTCAAATACTAGACTGAAAAGGATTAAATTCACAATACACATTGGTTTACCAAACAAGAAGAAATAATCAAGATAACCAACGAGCAATGTGCATGCTTAAATTAACATACATACTACCAAATATATCACCTAAAAGTCATTACAAATAAAATTTTCTTCCTTACAAGCTGTATATCTTGCCGAGACACTTTCCTCACTTCTCCACTAGACATCTTGCTCTCTCTTAAGCCTCAGCCAGAACTTGCAAGAGGTATCAGCACCCTTAACAATCACTGTATCAACTTATGATCAAAATCAAAAGCTACAAGCTCAGTAACTGCATAGGAGAAAAGATGATATTTTTAAAATCAAATAGAAACAAGAATCAGTAGCTGAACTCTCTAAATGAAGCAAGATTCAAACTTTATGCAGGCAGCTGAGTCTAAATCAGAAAAGAGCAAAAGGGTAATCATGAAGCACTTAGAAGAAGCGACCCACCATTTTTTTTTTTTTTTGATAAAAATAGGCATGAATTTGCACGGATCATAAAACCCAGAAAAGAAGTGAGCTTGATTTCACATACCCATCAAAGATAAATGAAGAAAAGAAAAAACAACAAAAACTTTAGTCTTCACTAGAGCTTACCGACATGTTTCATTTCTAGAAGAATTCCGCCAAGTCCCTTCAATTCACTACTTGGGATTGGTACTGAAAGCGGAAAGAAAAAGCTAGAGAGAGAGAGAGAGAGGAACCCAACACAAAAAGAGCCCAACTTTGTATTTTTTTTGGGGAAACTTGTGTCAAGGCCCAAAAACAAAATCTTTATGTGTTTCCTCTCTAACTTTTTCTCATGTGTTTTAGTTATTAAATTGAAAATCTATACTATGCGGCTCTCTTTTATCAATTATTACATATTAGCTAAACATATAGAGAGAATAAAAAGTAAAAAAAAAATCCAAAATGTTATTACATCCTCTATTCTTTCATGTTAAGTCTAAAAGCTTTCATGTTAAGTCTAATTCATGTTAAGTCTAAAAGCAAGTTGAATTAGATTTAACATGAAAGTCTAATTCCATATTAAGTTCAATTTAATTCATGTTAAGTCTAATTTAATTTCTTTTAAGTCTAATTTAAATTATTTAATGTCTAATTCAACTTGTTTCAAGTCTAATTTAATCCATATTAAGTCTAATTCAACTTTTTTTAAGTCTAATTTCATGTTAAGTCCAATTTAATTCATATTAAGTCTAATTTAATTCTTTTTATGTCTAATTTAAATATCTAATTCAATTTGTTTTAAGTCTAATTTAATTGGACTTAACATGAAATTAGACTTAAAAAAGTTACATTAGACTTGACATGATTTAAATTAGACTTAAAAAAAATTTAACATGATTGAAATTAGACTCAACATGAATCAAATTAGACTTAACATGAATCAAAATTGACTTAACATTAAATTAGACTTAAAATAAGTTGAATTAGACTTAACATGAATCACTTAACATGATTCATGTCAAGTCTAATTCAACTTGTTTTTAGACTTAAAAATAAGTTGAATTAGACATAACATGATATAAATTAGACTTAAAAAAGAATAAATTAGACTTAACATGAACCGAATTAGACTTAACATGAACTAAATTGGACTTTACATGAATTAAATTGGACTTAATATGAAATTAGACTTAAAACAAGTTGAATTAGACTTAACATGATTCATGTTAAGTCTAATTCAACTTGTTTTTAGACTTGAAACAAGTTGAATTAGACATAACATGATATAAATTAGATTTAAAGTAAATTAAATTTGGCTTAACATGAACTAAATTGGATTTAACATAAAATTAGACTTAAAATAAGTTGAATAAGACTTAACATGATTTAAATTGGACTTAATATAAACCGAATTGGACTTAACATAAACCGAATTGGACTTAACATGATTTAAATTGGACTTAATATGAACTGAATTAGACTTAACATGATTTAAAATGGACTTAACATGAACCAAATTGGACTTAACATAAACCGAATTGGACTTAACATATCATCCATGTTAAGTCTATTTCATTTTATTTTAAGTCTAATTTAAATTAGACTTAAAATGATTTAAATTAGGCTTAACAAAATTAAACTTAAAACAATTTAAATTAGACTTAAACTTAATTTAACGCGAATCAAACTGGACTTAAACCAAATTGGATTTAACATGAATCAAATTGGACTTAACACGAACCAAACCGGACTTAACATGAACTAATTTGGACTTAATATGAACTAAACTGGATTAAAATTAGACTTAAAAGAATTAAATTAGATTTAACATGAAACAAATTGGATTTAACATGAAGCAATATTAGACTTAACATATAATCCATGATAAGTCTATTTTATTTTATTTTAAGTCTAATTTCATGTTAAGTCTAATTTAAAGACTTAAATGATTTAAATTAGACTTAACAAAATTTAAATTAGACTTAAAATGATTTAAATTAGACTTAAAATGATTTAAATTGAACTTAACACGAATCAAACATGTCTTAACACGAACCAAACTAGATTTAACACGAATCAAACTGGACTTAACATGAACCAAACTGGACTTAACATTAACTAAATTGGATTAAAATTAGACTTAAAAAGAATTAAATTAGATTTAATATGAATCAAATTGGACTTAACATGAAGCAAAATTGGACTTAACGAAAGTCCAATTTGATTCATGTTAAATATAATTTAATTCCTTTTAAGTCAATTTTAATCCAGTTTAGTTCATGTTAAGTCCAATTTTATTCGTGTTAAGTTCAGTTTAAATCGTTTTAAGTCTAATTTAAATCGCTTTAAGTCTAATTTAAATCTTGTTAAGTCTAATTCAAATCATTTTAAGTGTTTAAATTAGACTTAACATGAAATTAGACTTAAAATAAAATTAAATAGACTTAACATGGATTATATGTTAAGTCATGTTTAAGTCCAATTTTGCTTCATGTTAAGTCAAATTTGATTCAGTTAAATCCAATTTATTTCTTTTTAAGTCTAATTTTAATCCAGGTTAGTTCATGTTAAGTCCAGTCTGATTCGTGTTAAATCCAGTTTGATTCGTGTTAAATCCAGTTTGGTTTGTATTAAGTCGATTTTGATTCGTGTTAAGTTCAATTTAAATAATTTTAAGTCTAATTTAAATCTTGTTAAGTCTAATTTAAATCATTTTAAGTCTAATTTAAATTAGACTTAACATGAAATTAGACTTAAAATAAAATAAAATAGACTTAACATGGATTATATGTTAAGTCTAATTCGGTTCATATTAACTCTAATTTAAATCATATTAAGTCCAATTCGATTTATATTTAGTCCAATTTAAATCATGTTAAGTCTAATATAACTTATTTTAAGTCTAATTTCATATTAAATCCAATTTAGTTCATGTTAAGACTAATTTAATTTTTTAAGTCTAATTTAAATCATGTTATGTCTAATTTAACTTGTTTCAAGTCTAAAAACAAGTTGAATTAGACTTAACATGAATAATGTTAAGTCTAATTCAACTTGTTTTAAGTCTAATTTCATATTAAGTCCAATTTAATTCATGTAAAGTCCAATTTAGTTCATGTTAAGTCTAATTCGGTTCATATTAAGTCTAATTTAAATCATGTTATGTCTAATTCAAAATTCAACTTATTTGAAGTCTAAAAACAATTTGAATTAGACTTAACATGAATCATGTTAAGTCTATTTTAACTTATTTTAAGTCTAAAAACAAGTTGAATTAGACTTAACATGAATCATGTTAAGTCTATTTTAACTCATTTTAAGTCTAATTTCATGTTAAGTCTAATTTGATTCATGTTGAGTCTAATTTTAATCATGTTAAATTCCTTTTAAGTCTAATTTAAATCATGTCAGGTCTAATTTAACTTTTTTTGACTCTAATTTTATGTTAAGTCCAATTAAATTAGATTTAAAACAAGTTGAATTAGACATAACATGATTTAAATTAGACTTAAAAGGAATTAAATTAGACTTAATATGAATTAAATTGGACTTAAAATAAATTGAATTAGACTTAACATGAATTAAATTAGACTTGAAAAAAGTTGAATTAGACATAAAATGATTTAAATCAGGCTTAAAAGAAATTTAATTAGATTTAACATGAATTAAATTGAACTTAACATGGAATTATACTTTCATGTTAAGTCTAATTCAACTCGCTTTTAGACTTAACATGAAAACTTTTAAACTTAACATGAAAGAATAGAGGAGATAATTGCATTTTGAGGTTTTTTAACTTTTTATTCTCTCCCTATGCTTAGCTGACAAGTAATAATTGCTAAAAGAGGGTTGCAGAACAAAGATCTTCAATTTAAGGGCTAAAACATATGGGTGAAAGTCAAAGGGGCTGAAGCACATGAAGTTTTTGCTTTGTGGGGCTTTGACACAATTTTCCCAAATTTTTTATTTCAAAGCCTTTTTTTAATTACAAATGGTTAGAAAAATAAGGTGCCAATGTGTCTTGTTTGCCCCACAAAAACCAAAACCAACCCCTTTGACTGTTTTTTTCAGTTTTATTTTTATAATTTATTGGTGATGTAAATGGATACTGACAAGGTTTCCCATTTCCCCAGGACAAAGGGTAATTAAGTTTTTAACTGGATTTGGGCTGTCTACTACTTCTATCCTACGCTTGCCTTGGCCCAAGGAAAGTAACTATCTACTTTGATCTCTATCCGTATTACCATATTGTACCTCTATCCATATTATCATATTCTACCTCTTAGTTTCAGTTATTGACTAATCCAACAAATACATACTCTACCGGGACATTTATACATACGAGCGGGATATTCTGAACCATAAAATTAAATAGTAAAAAACATGCAGATTATCCTCTTCGAGTCTACTTGTTACATTAATTCAAGGCTTCATTTTCTCTCTCATATCCCATGCTTCGTTCTTTTTCTCATTCAATCTTTCTCTGGGATGCCTCTATTTTTCTTTTGCAGCTACTTTCTGGCGGATGAGTAGGAAAATTCACTATTAGAATTGGATTCTTATCATGCTTTTATTAGCATGTATAAATTGTTGGATATTTGTTCATGAAAAGACAATTTTGCCTTTGTGAATAGTCCCACATTGGAAGATGAGATGAAGAGTAAGAGATTTATAATGCTTTACATCATTTGGGTTTTGAGTAAGTGTTTTGGGCATTGTATTGTTTGGGCTATTGCTATCACACACACGCGTGCATGCCACGCCTCGCCTCGTCGCGATGCGCGCCACGCCGCACACATTTTTGTTTCTCAGATTTTTATTTTTTACAGTTTTCTTCCGCTTGACCCGTTCGTAACGGATGCAGAGATGGCACGGGGAGTTACGCGGATCTGCCGTAACGTGTGCGGGTTTGGAGCAACGGATCTCTGGCTTCGGAGTCCTATAAATACATGCATTCTTCTCCTCGTTTTATATAGAAAACAGAAAGAACTTCTTCTCTCCTAGCTTCTTATTTTTTATAGTTTCGGCTATTGTGTTATTTTTTCTTTGGGGCAACTTTCTTCATCTGAGCTTAAGCTCTGCTGCTCTCGCCCGAATACAGAGGCCGGCTGAACCGGGGGTTTTTACCACTAGGGGGAAAGAGGGTCGACTGCGTCAGGACGATAGGTGTGTCCTCAATTTTCTAGGACAGTGAAATCACGACTGCTCCCATTCAGGCTTGATTTTCTAACTTTTTATTTCAGATTTTATACTAATTTTTATCTCTTTTGCCAGCATAAATTATAATTATTATATTTCTTCTAGCAGTTTACCAACAATTTTCGGCCAGGTACAAAAAGAAAACTTGGGCAGGTCTGAGCCCAAGTATCTCTGTTTACGGTTCTAAAAGTTGGTGCATGAACTTAGCCCTTCTCGAGGTATGGCTCAGCTTCGCGCGTTTATCATAAGTTCTGGGCTAAATGGTAAAGTACTGGAACAACGGCCCAATGTATTTCAGTGATGGGCCATGATTGTCCACACAAGCATGGGCTTATCTTTACACAGAACTGTCTGGCCTCCTCGCTTAGCTTGCTCAAGAAAAAAAGTGTGTTATGCAGGGTCAGGATTGTACCTGACCTAATTTCGGGTTTTTTTTTAATGGTTGATTTAAATTTAAAAAAGAAAAATCAATTCGTAGGCCAAATGTTGGTCACCCAATCAATACAAGTTAGCACCGCTCGTTCTCTGGTCCAAACTAGAACCGATTTAGCATAAAACTGGGTCAGGATTGATCCGGGCCCAATTTTGAGTGGATCGCCGAACACAACCTAAAGAATATCTACGAGAACCATGACTCATCATCTGATTCAGGAGGAAAATACTGAGTTTGAGACTTCCAAGGATGGTGTCTGATCGACGAGAGCATGGAAGTTGGATACCCCATTTTCATATTATTAAATCATTTTTTTTCCTATTTGTTATATTTGCATTTGTCTTCCGTATTTGTTATATTTTTTTTTTCCCGTCTGAGTTCTGTCTAAAGAATGACATCGATCAAACTCAAAAAGAGATCTTAAAAACAAACGAAAGGTTGAAGAAGATCACCTACCACCTCTTATCCTTCAGTTTGGATTCTCTACTTTGTTTGAAACCGCGTATGACGTTGAGGTATTATTCTTAGTCCATTTCCTTACTTTTAAAAAAACTTTATTATATAATAGTGCGGAGGAGGGGAAAAAAAAGAAGTTTGCAAAATAGACCTATTTTGCTAAATATTTAGCAAAACAGATCGTTTTGCTAAATATTTAGCAAAATAGACATTTTTTTTTGCCAACAGACCAAAAAGATGTCGATTGTGCAAAACAGACCATTCGAAACATACGGGACTAGTAGTCCCGTATGATTTAAATCATGCTGGACAATGCTTCGAATGGTCTGTTTTGCAAAATCGACATCTTTTTGGCCTGTTGGCAAAAAAAAATGTCTGTTTTGCTAAATATTTAGCAAAACGGTCTGTTTTGCTAAATATTTAGCAAAATAGGTCTATTTTGCAAATTTTCCAAAAAAAAATAAAAAAATTCTTGGCCCGCGTACTCTTTTGACGCTATCAAAATTGAAGGGAGTATCTTTCGGCAAACTCTTTTTGACTTGATTTTTACTCGTCCAACTCAAAAGCCCCTTCGCTTGAGCAATCTAGCTACGTACCGACCTCTCCCTTCATCCTTCTATATAAAGCAACATTATTTATCTAACACAAATTCATCTCCTCAACCCTCTCCTCAGCTTGAGTTTTCATTAATTCCTTGAGCTTTGTTTTTTCAAACACAAATTAAGATGAGGTGCTACGATCAGCAACAGGAACAGGCTGCCCACGTTGGTAGTAAGTTGATCACGCTTGAAATTTTTTTTTTTTATATCTTTTTCCATTTTCTTCTTAAGATCTAAAATGAGGTTCGAGATCTTCAAATAAAGAAGCTTTACATGGATAACCGGTAATCGATTATCGAACCAAGTCAAATTTCGTCGCACGATGTAGTTATAACTTGTTCGATATATCGATGTTTAGGTAACCGTCTACCATTGGATTAGTACAATACAGAAGATCGTCAGTCAGCTATGTTGTGAAACTAATGCTAGAAAGGATGATAACGATCGATTTAATTTGTTTTTTTTTCCTCCTCTTAAGCAGCCTGTCCACCGCCGCCAACCTCCTACCCGCCCG